AGAGCCCCCCACGCCAAAATTAGCACAGGTAAGCCCCTAAGAGGCGCTATTTTCCGTCTAAAACGTTTTTGGGGAACCGAACGGCTGAAGATGCTCTAACCAGCTCAGTTGGCGCCCTAATCTTGTTAGTTGGTGAGAGACATGTCTACTTATCAAGAACGGCGTGTCTTGGCCAATAGGTCATCGATTGTCGAGAAAATTGGCGTGTGTCTTGGCCAGGCTGTCCATTCACCTTTTTTCAAACTTGTTCAGAAACTCAATTTTTTTGGTCAGTTTAAATAATGTTCATGCTTTCAAAAACTGTTCCTATTTTCTAAAAAATACTACACAAATAGAATATGTTTAGGGAAATAAAAAATAGTTTCGATTTTTTTGTATTTTTTGAAATTCCAAATTTTTAATGTTTTTAAAAATTATTTGATTTTTTTTTAAAAAAATTCGTGTTCAAAATTATGTTTGAGTTTTGACGTTTTGAGGAAATTTGGAAGGCACAAACATTTTTTTAAATGCTAATATTGTTAAGTTTTTTATTTTTGTTAAAAGAGCGAACAATTTTTTGAAATTTTGAACAAATCCTTGTGTGTGGCATCGTCTATTGGAGGAGCTCCAAGTCACCGCTTTGAGCGCCGGTTAGGAAACTGACGGTCGTGCGCATGCCAACGGCTGTAGCCAAATATTGCGCAAGCTCGCTCGCCCGCTCAGCAGCTTCGCACGCTCACTCGCTTTGCCCATTAGCTTAGAAGAAAGTTAATGAATTTGAAAAGTTAAGATGTTGGAAATATAGTTCACGAATTTTAAAATTATTCATGAGTCAAATTTTAAACAGTTAATAAATTTAAAGAAAGTTCATAAGTTTGAAAAAATGTGAATCTAAAAATTGATATGAGTTTAAAATTTTAAAATACTATGAATTTGGAAAAAGTTCAGGAATTTAAAAATTGTTCACAAGTTAAAATTTTAAAAGATTCATAAATTTTAATAAAGTTCTCATTTAGAAATTTTTCACATATCTGTAAATGTTTGCGTATTTTGGAAAATGTTTCACGAATTTTTAAGAAGTTCACAAAGAAATGTTAAAATAAAAAAGGGAAAATAAAAAATAAAACTGTAATGGAAAAACAAGGAGAAAAAACCGAGCGGAAACCATGCATAAAAAAACAATGCATAAACACCATGCAGATCTGAACCGGAAATGTGGACAGCAAGAAGTAAAAGAAGTGGTAGTCTGCATAACAGGTTATGTATCCAGTACAATATCCTTTGTTAGGAAATATGCTGGTAACTGTGTTAGGAAATAAGCTGGAGGTATTTGGTTCAAATCTCGGGTTGCGCAATATCCCTTGAACCTAAAAAAGGAAAAAAAAAGTTAATGGGCCGAGCCCAAGACAAAGCATATAATAACCAACTCCTATACGGTGTTTATATGATTTTTTTTGGGGGGTTGTACCGAAGCAGAGCTCATGATGCCAAGCTCTTTGGTAGAAGATTCTTGAAAAAAAAAACTCTTTGGTAGAAATCCCCAATCCTACTGCTAGTTTTTGTTTTTTCTAACCGGACTCACACTTCCTTTACATTAATTTCCTAATTGAAATATACAACCCAATAACAGTGGCGCAAAGGGCGCACCCTCACGGTGTCCATGTCATCACATGTGTACGACAAAAAAGTGGATGGCGAAGCGGAAAATGCAAAGGGAGGCCGAGCATCAGGCAGGGCTTTATCTTGTCCGTTCATACCCACCATTTGGATTCCCACATCGATATCCATCTCACGCATTCAGTGCAAGCTCGAAGGAACCTCTATAAATAGCAGGCGGATGAGTTCACATCGATCCTATCCCATCACAAGCAAAGCAAAGCGAAGCCTAATCGTGTTCGTGTTGGCCATGGGGTTCAACAGAGCACAGTTGTTTGCTGCGCTGGCCCTGGGCTTGCTCATCATGATCCACAGTAAGTTTAAATACCAACGCCACACAACATGCCCATCCTGTTGCTAGTTAAAAAGATCCATCCATTCTTGTGCTGAAAACAAGAATGTAATTCTGTGGTGCAGGTGCGGAGGCGGTTCATCCACGTCCCCGGATATGCCACTCCCCAAGCCATCTTTATCGTGGCTCATGCAACAACAGGAAATGCGTGGAGGTGTGCCACCACGAGCACTTCACCGGCGGCTACTGCTCACGTAAAGGGATTGTTAAAAAACTTCATTGTGAATGTACCATAAAATGCGACCATCATAGTCCTCCACCGCCGTCGGAAGTGCCGGAGCCGCCGTCTTCTGAACGGCCACCACCACCACCAAGAGTCATGTAGGCGAGAAAAGTTTATGGAGCCACTGAAAGGATAATATTTGCGTCTCCATGGAAATGTCCATTTTGTAAGGAACTAGACAGGAATCATTGATCGAATGAAAATAATTTGCAGTACCGAGACAATAATAAGAAAACCTCTTTCATTTGAGACTTGCCTAAGGAACTTGTGGTCGGTTTACCAAACCGTCTCGGTTGCCATGACTTCATTTTTCATATTACCCACACTCATGTGCTATCATATATCGTATCAAGCCCTCAATTATCAGCGCTTGGTCGTCCTCGAGCACGTGACCATCGACCTCCCTCCCCTACGAATGTTTCGGCAACCGTCAGCATGTAGACATCCTGCATAGCATGGTCGTCATCCATATTTGTGAATGCTTGGTCGCCCATGCCGCAAGCGCTTGGTGACCGTTGTCCATGTTGGCAAACGCTGGTCGGCCATGTTGCTGAGAGCTTGCTGGCAGTCACCAACTTCATCGAGAGCTTGCTGGCAGTCACCAACTTCACCGAGAGCTTGCTGACCGTCCTCGGCCGCGAGTGATTTTGAATTTATTCGGCGCGATTAACTGCCTTCCTAATCAATTAATTTCATTAATGGCTCAAATTATATGCATGCTTTATTAATTGCCTGCCTTATTAATTGCCTTCCTAATCAATTAATTTCATTAATGGCTCAATTTTTAAATTGATTTGACTAAAAAATCCTTATTTAAATGGACCTAATTAATTGCACAAGTAATTAATTGTCTAGATAAAATAATTGTAGTAATGGCTTGGTTTCCAAATTGATTCGGTGCTTGGTTTACAAATTATTTTCATATTAATGAATGTGTGCAAACGACTACATACACATACACCTTTAATAGTAGAGATTTGATATTTGTCTTCGAGGCGGATGATCCAGTTGAGCTCGACTCGACACTCACTTGAAAAGAAATAAGGTAATTGTAAAACCTTTTATAGCTCGGTCATAAAAGAGCCGAAATTAGCTAAGACTAGTTTGCTAAATCTTGACTCTCCACATAGTTCAAATGAACATAGTTGGCATGTTAGTTGCAATACCAGGAATGGAACTAGAATCATTTGTTTACCTTATTTCGGAATTTAACTTGATACTTTAGAAAAATACACCGTGTGGCGAGCGTCCTATATTAAGA